AGCTCCGGGCCATTTTTCTGCCGGTGATTGGGTCCCCAAAAGTTTGCTCCTCTGGCTCTCACGGGGTCCAGTGATGCGGGTTCCTGCCCCTGCCTGCAGGTCTAATTAATGGTGGAGAGGGCTTCCTGCTGCTGCCCACTTCTGGGGGCCTTTGCATCGCTCATTGGTCCCACCCACCCCTCCACGAGCAATGGGCATATTCACCCATTGATGAGCCCCCTGAGTGGCACTGTCTCCTGCCCCGTGAACTTACACGCCACTCGGGCTTCCAGACTTTCCCCCTCCCTGCTTCTGTTATCTGTCTGCATAGGATTCCCAGAGCTCAGTCCTGTGTCCTTCCATTGTCTTCATCAGTCTAAGAGGAGCGTTTACAACCCTCCACAGCTTGGCTCATGGTCTCCCCTCTGCTCCACCTCTTTCCTCTGCTGCCTGTAGCTCGCCCAAAGCAGAGCCAGGTGCTCTCCTTAAATGCAGCCCCGCTGCTCCCTCTCCCCAGATCTCCACCCGTCCGAATCCTGCCTGCCCTGTAAGGCTCAGCTGAAACGTCACTTCTTCCCTAAAACACCCCTCTCCTTCCAGCTGGAAGTAACGTTCCCCTCAGCTGAACTCCCAGGGGATATTATCTGTTTCTCCCTTGGTCACTTATCACTTCCCCAACTTGTATGAGAACAACTTATGTACGAGCTCTATCTTCCCTGGGGGCTGGCCTCTTTCATCTTGCTGTGATTGTGTGGCACTGTCACTAAACACGTGTGCTCTGGAGACAGCCACCCGGCTTCAAAGCCTGGCTCTGCTGCTTGTCAGCCACAGGAACTTGGCACGTTATGGTACTTCTCTGAGCCTCACGTTGCTCATCTGTGAGATGGAGGGGGCGTCACCATAACACCTGTCTTGCAGGCTTGTTGGAGGATTACAGGAGTTAGGGCACAGGGAACACGTTCAGGAGGGGTCTGGCACACCGTAAGGGCTCCACGGATGTCAATTCTCTCCTCTTCCTCACCTTATTGTTACTCTAGGTAGCACGTGGATGATTAATTCCGTGTGCTGTTGGAGATAATGAGACAGTAGATGGAATGATAGAGCAGAGCCTTGGAAAACAAAAACTTCATCGGGACGATTTTCCTAGACTGGTCATGTTAAAGACTGTGCCCATCTCCAAAGCTAGAATTATATTCAGAGATGAAGCCCAGCCCTCTCGTTAAAACACCGGGTAAACACCTGCTTACTGCTGGGTGACCTGCCCAAGGCCACACAATGAGTGTGCAGAGCTGGGGTTTGAACTCAACTTTTCTTCCTGCAACTGTTTTTCTTCTAGGCTTGTCAAGTTTCTGAATAATAAGCATTTTCAAACTTCCAAGCCCTAAGAGAAGGGGACCTCTATGGAACTAGCCTGGAGAATGGGACCCCCTGGTGGACAAGCAGCAAGGACCCATGACCTTGGGGGTTCCCTGGGACTCCCTGGACCTTCTTATAATTTGGGGATGGAATTTAAGGGTCTGAAAACCCTGCCTCCTGTTTGCCTCCTGGAACTTTGCATCCTGTTCTGGGGGACATTTTACCCGCTGAGGAGATCTCAAAACACTGGGTGAGTCCTTAGCTCTGAGAGACGCGAGCATCTTCGAGAAGGGCTGACATAGAGTCAGTGGGAAGAAATGGATGAGAAACAGGCCCCGTTGGTGTTGGCCTGTCTGAAATCCAAAAATAGATCTGATCCAACAACATTTGGACAACTATTGACCTTGTCATGGAGCCCAAAGCCCTTGGCTGGGTGAGTGGGGATTAGGCAAGAACATTTCAGAAAGAATGCCCCCGTGCCTCAGCCACCAGGAATGCGGCGTCATTCCTGCCCTGGTGGAGGGCGACTGAGGGGAAAGGAGCCCACAGGGCCAGCAGTCGGTCGGGGCCTGCTCTGGAGACCGTCTGGCCACCAGCGCTGATGCCTCACAAACCAGTCATGGTGGGCGACGCTCCCATCCCTCGGAGCCGGTCTCCCACCTGTGGCAGCATCCTGTATGGCAGGGTCTGGGAGGAAGACTGGGGTGCGGGGCAAAGCCAGGCAGCTCGGGTGCTGAGGTGGGCTTGGACCTGGGGGCAGCGTGGGGGGAAGTGTTCTCTTGTGGGCAGCGTGGACGTTGGAGCCGGGTCGGCACTCCCACCTGGCATCCGTGAGATCTCCACAAAGTCTCGGAAACACACCAAGGCCCGGTTTTCTTTATCTTTAGTACCTGCTCCAGCTGTTTCAGAATTACCGGGGTAAGCTGAAAAGGCTGGAGATGGGGGAGGGGGGCGGGGGGGTCTGAGTCACCTGAGAGAGTGGTAGCTCTACTGCTTAGCACTGTGCGTCCTTGAGAAACAGACAAACTGAGTCTCATTGTTGTCGTCTTTACACAGGGGTCATTGGGAAGACCGAATGGTGCACATGAAGGCCTCAGCGCACAAAGTCTTGGCTCAACAAATGTCAATCGAGTGGACAATGTGTGGGAGGTTCCTTGGAAATCACAAGGGCCCACAGAGAAGCATCACCCCCAGGCAGTGGGGCCCTTTGGGTAGCACGTGGGCTTCCTGTGCCTGGGGGACCTTCTCCCTGCTTTCCTAGCCTCTCAGGTTGGGGCCCAGCTTGGAGCAGACAGCCCATGCAACTGACCTTTCCCCAGGAGAGGGAAAGGCCTAGCCGGGATATGAGTTTCTTGACAGGAATTAATCTGTGATCCTACCTTAGGTCTCTGTCCAGAACGTTCAATGGTCAGGACACTAGGGCCCCTTGGTACCCTTCCACCAAGCTCCAGTTGTAAGTTGGAGCAGTGGAGGCTTTTTCAAGAGCAGAGGGATTTTTCTGAGAGCTGAGGTGTAGGGAGTCAAGCGGAGGGTCCCTTTGGCTGAGGTGGGCTGGCTGTCTCTCGTCCTGTTCCCCAAGCCCTGGCTGCCAGGCTGAGCTGACTGTGAGGGAGGCACTGGTGGAGACTGACGCGCCACTATCTCCCCACCCTCCCCCTCCGCAACCCCTGGAATCAATCCTTCAACTTCCAAGTGCCAGGGAGCCGCGATCACTCTTGTCCACATGGAGAGGAGGGAGTCATGAGGAGGAGCTGAGAGATCTCAACGAGGCAACTACGACATTAAAGCACGAGACCCACCGTGACTACCGCGCCCCTGCTCACAGACGTGTAGTCACACACACGTGTGGGTACAACACATGTAGATACACAGACTTACTCTCAGCAAATATTTAGTAAAGTTCTACAGGGCCCTGGCAAGGCAAACGTGAATCCAATCCTGTCCTCAGGGAGTTGCAGTCCAGGAGGGGTGGGGGGAACTGGCAGAAACAGCGTGGTGGTCAGTGCTCTGTCTTTTACGTGCAAAGCCAGGGGAGTTCTGGAGAGATAGTCACTCTGTATGTGGGGATCTGGGAGCTCTTCAAACAAGGGCTGCTGCCTGGCTGGGTGTTGAAGGAGAGTGGGCGAGACAGAAACCCAGGCAGACGTCGCGTCCCACAGAGCGTGGTCTTTCCTGATGCCTGCCTTGTCCTGCCCTGTTGGCCCAGGTGTCCCAGACCCGTGATCCTGCGATAGTGGGCATGTCTCTGCCACTGTGAGCTATGAGGGATGGTGTCTTTGTGCCTCTAGTTCCTGAATCACATCTAACATAGCGGAGATTTTCAATAAATGCTGAATAAGTACGTAAAGGAGGAGAAAGACACACGGGGCAGAGAACAGCGTGTGCAAAGGCAAAGAAGAGTGCAGATGAAGGGCAGTAGAGGCATTTGTCCGACATAACACACAAAGAGGCCCGCGGGGACATGAAACTGGCGCCTACAGCGCCTCTGCCGGTGCTCCCTGTCACAGAACCTCTCTGAGCGTCCACCCAGCGCCCGCCTCCTCTCCCACCTGGAGAAGACAGACCAGTGTGGCCGCAGGCATTGCTCAAGGTCAGGAACAGGGCCCAGTGTCTCCAGTGTCGCTGCCCACAGCTGACAGCCTCCAGCCTGGCGACTCCCAGCACATGCCATGACTGGTGAACGCTTTGCAAATCTGGTTCCCATTAAGGTGCCAGTGAAGAAACCCAGGAGAGTCTCATGGTAAAATCAGACCAGATAGGAGTAGAGGGACAAAGGTCCCACAAAACAGCACTAGCCCCGTGGTTCTGACATGCCTGGAGGGTCTGGAAATATCCATGGCTCGCTTGGTGTTGGGGTGGGGATAGGGGTAGCTGGGAGGATGCTGGCTTTTCAGTGTTACCAAAAGAATATAAAGTCACACCATCAAATAACCATTGCCTCACCAAAATGGGACCCAAAGAGCAGCCCAATTCTCCCAGTGAGAAAGAGGCCACGGAGCATAGTCTCCTAATTATGGTGACAAGGACAGCAATGCTAGCCGACAGTCGCGGGAGCCTGTCAGTGCGAGGCAAGCCCAAGAGGCAGGACTGCCGAGTGGCTTCTGCCAGGTAGAACTGCGCTGGCTCTGCCACTTACTAGACTTGTGAGCTTCAGGGAGGATTCAGGGAGGATGCCAAGGCCGGGTGCAGCCCCAGCACATAGCCCGGCTCAGAGCAAATGCCCAACAAGCATTAGCTGTCATTGGTATTCTTGCTAAAACCCTCCAAACAAACCCAAGAGATAAGCAGGAGAATCACACCCATCTGGGAGGTGAGGAAACCAAAGTTCAGGAAAGTTCCAGATGACACAGCTAGAAGCGGCAGAGCTGAGCCCGAGCCCAGGCAGGCTGACCCGGAGCCTCGCCTCTGAGCTCTGTTCTGTGTGACTTGCTAGCAGGAAGCGGACGCTCAGAGCAACCTGACTCAGGAGCAGCGTTTCCTAGAACTGCTGATGCCCAGTTCCAAGAGCTGGGGCAATGCTGGAAACAAGGAGAAGGAAGGCCGAGAAGAGTTGATGGAAGTGTCAGTGAAGGAACAAATGCTAGAATGTTAGAAGATTCCAGAAGGGGGATAATGAACCAATGGGTGCCTCTTGCCCCATTCCCTCTTCAGATGAGATGGGCTGGCTCTGGGTGAGACTGGAGTGTGAGGCGGGGGCACATGGCTGATGGCTCAGCCCTCTGCCAAGGGTCAGCCCGTCAAGGCTCTCCACACAATTTCCTGTTATTTAGTCTGGTTCTGAGAGTACCCCATCATCAGCCAATTCAGCATAAAAGAATCCAGAGGGCTCAGTCAAACACTCCAGAAATTTAGTTTTTAGAATAACAATCAGTAAAATCGGTTAAAACTTTTCAGTCAATCCAGTCAGGTGGGATGAAAATTCGGGAAACTCAGGCCACACTACTTTCAGTCAAGTTTCATCGTTAACTTCTGCAAAATCAATCAGAAACTTGGTCAGTGCATCTTGAAGTCCTGGGAGTCTAGACAGAAGTTCAGGCAGGCTTCACATGTACTGAGGTGGTGATTTGGAAATTTGGTGAGGTCGGCCCAAATCCAGCAAGGTCAACCCAAAGTCTAGATCAGTCCAAAGTTCAGAGTGGAGAGGCTAAAGTCCAAGCCGAGCAGTCGGGTATTTAGTCAGACGGGTCACGTCAACCCCGACCACTTGGCATCACATAAGCCCCACATTCGGTTGTGGGACTGGGTTTGTGATGGGTAGACAGAGAGAGACGGGATTGGCTGTGTGTGCAGGTAGGGGAGCCAAAGTGGAGACAAAGTGGCACTGTCCAGGGATTTCCAGAAACTTCTCCACCAGGAGCCAGACCAAGGAAATGGCGGGGCTGAGCTGGAGTGGCGTTCCCAGACAAGCCCCTGAAACTGCCCTGGGGAGACCCAAGATGCCACTCTGTTGACCTCTGTGAACCTGGCGTATTGCCGAGCTCTCGGGCCTTCTGAAGCCAGAGCCCCATCCAGCCACTGGGCAGCCAGCCAGGGTGTCCTCACCTAAAGGACAGCAGCCCGGTGAACACACGTAGCACGCCTCGTCCCCTCACCGCCTGCCTGTCTGTTCTCCCACGCTCCTTCCCCTCTCTGGCCAGAGCTGAGCAGGCGAAGCCAAGAGCTGGCCTGGTGCCCCGGCAATGGAGGTGTAGCTGGGCTCTGACCCAGCTCCTCAAACAGGTTCCATATGGCCCTCCCGGCCTCCCCCCTCCCCTTCCCAACCTGACTGTTTCTGAGATTAAAACCCTTTCCTGGTGTCAGCACACAGCCGCAGGGAGGGGCTGCCCTGCTGCTCTTGGGGGCTGAACTGGTATGGAATACTCATCAGAAGGCTGGCTCACGGGTACAGAGTTCCTGGACTACTGGGTGAGGGGGCGTGGAGGGGGCAGGTGGCCTGAGTGTGGGAGAGACCTCTGCCTGCCTGTTTGGTCCAGCTGCAGCCTCTGGAGCAGTTCTTGAGCATCTGGCCTGGGCATCGCGACACCGAGACTCATGGTAGGAACGTGCAGTGGTCGGGGTAGCTCTGTCTCTCTCCTGAACCCAGAATTCCTTCTGCGGCTAAGAGGGATGTGATGAAAGCCAAGAAAGGGACAGCTGAGGGCCAGCCCGGGGCCCAGCGGTTAAGTTCGCACGTTCTACTTCAGCGGCTTGGGGTTTGCCGGTTTGGATCCTGGGTGCAGACCTCACACCGCTTATCAAGCCACGCTGGGGCAGGCGTCCCACATACAGAGTAGAGGAAGATGATGGGCATGGATGTTAGCTCAGGACCAGTCTTCCTCAGCAAAAAGAGAAGGACTGGCGGCAGATGTTAGCTCAGGGCTAAACTTACTCAAAAAAATAAATAAATAAAGGGACAGCTGAGATGGAAGGGGGGCCAGGGTGGGAGTGGGGAGGCTAATCCACATATGCAACCACACACAGGCCCCATCAGTCAGTGGGGATGCCAGACGTGGCACTGAAGTGGTCCCCAGTGTCCATCCCTACTGAGCCAGTGCTCATGCTTTGCAGGCCTAGGGGGCAGTCTTGGGACCCTGGGACTGCAGCATTAGGGTGCAGTGGGAGTGGGGGTGCTCCAGGAGTTTGGGACTACAGCTATTTACCCTGGTGTTGAAGTACTTAATAATTTAACAGCCAGCCCAGGAGTCCCAGAGCTCCCAGGTGCACTGTGCCCTTCGGTTGGAGCTTGTCTCCACTCTGGCTCTGCCTTCTTCCCTGGAAAGGCTTCTGTTGACTGTGAAACCTGAAGACACACACACAGATGCATGTGTGCACGTGCGCGTGTGAACTCTCTGGATGCCCAGCACTTCTAAGTGCCCAGGAAATCCACAAGCACGTGCCTGACCCGGCACTTGGCCTGCCCTTGCACCCCTGCCCCAGCCCCACCAAGTCCAGCCCAGAGGCTCGTCCGGACACAGAGGCACAGCTGATCCACTTCTGAGCTCCTGGCTGAACCATGTCCTGGGGATTCTTAACTCTTATCCCTCCTCCATCCTGTCACAGACCATGCCCAGGGCTGGCCTCAAGGTCTGGAGCACCAAACATTTGGAAAGCTCGCGTTTGAACAGTCTCTCCACCAGCCTGTCCTCCCGCCCCAACCGGCCACACCCTTGGCCTGGCTCTGGGAGCCCGTCCTATCCCTCGGAAGATCAAAGCAGACTCCCTGTCTGCTTTCAGTGATGACATCTGACTGCAGCAGGTGGTGATTTAGGATCTCGGCCCTGGAAGGGCCTCAGAGCTCCATCCTGGCCGTCTCATTTTCCACGTGGAGACTCAGAGAGGGGAAGAGGCACCGAGCTGGTGCCAAGCTGGGACTGGAACCCAGGACTCCACAGTCCGTGGATTTTCCCCAGCAGCATCATCGGGGACAAAGGGACAGAGTGGGCGAGGAGACTCCGCCCAGCCAGAGCTCCCCTTCTCCCCCAGAACAGGCTGTGTCAGAGGGAGGAAGAGTCCTCCTTGGAGATAGATGGTTAATGGCCTTGTAGTTGGGCCCTTGCCCACCCATTCTGTCACTTCTCTGAATGCATGTGGGGTGCTGGGACATCGTGCTGTCTCAGGGAGACCCACAAGAGGTTGCAGGGCAATTTCAAGGGCATAACAGGAGCAGCATCTGTGAAACATCTTGGACACTGTGCAAGGGAGGGGTCCTGTATGGAGGAGGCAGTAGCCTCACTCCCACTTTTTTCTGCTTTTACTTCCTTTCTCCCTCCCTCTCTTTAGCCGTTAAAGCTGCTGCTATGCACAGGGAGAGAAGGTGAGCTTATTTTGTTTCTCCTTTCGGGGTGCTGTTTGGAGGTCTGGGGCTGAGGAAGAACAGTGATGGCCCCAGAGGCCTGAGCCCTTTGAGCGTATGTGTGTGAGGGGCTGGGCACCCAGTCCAGCTTCCCGCTGCCTGCCCCGTCCAGCCCAGTCTCCCTTACAGGGCATCCAGACGCTCTTCCCAACAGTGTGTACCCAGACGTCCCAGGTACAGTCACAGTGGGCAACTCTGAATCCCTCAGCTCCTTTTCCATCTTCCTGCGTCTGGGCCCTGCTCACTGCTGTCTTCCACGATGTCTTTCCAGGGACATCCCATCCTTCCAGCTCTGCTCAGACTCTGCCGGGGTCTTTGGTCCTCCAACCTTCAGTGGCCTTCATGCCATTTCCCCCGGCTCTGTAATCCTCTGCTGGTGAACTGACCGTCATCGTCCCCGTGAGTGAGGTGAGATGCACTTACTTGAGACATTGATCGTTATATTTCTTCTGGGAGCTCACTCTGTGCTCTGCATTCAAGATGCTGAGCCTGTATGGTTAGGAAGTGGGATGGGACAGATGGTGAGTGGAAGAAAGGAGCCTGCCTGGTTTGAAGCCCCAAACCCCGCACCTTAGAAGAAGTGAGAGGATGCAGGGGCTTGGAAATGCGGGAGCAAGGTCTGGAGTGAGAGTAGGCATTGGCCATTGATGAGGGGGCTTCCCCGGAGAACTCTGCAGGCAGCAAGAGGCCAAGAGGGAAGGGCTGGTGGCAGGTCCAGACACTGCCTGGCTGCCATGCACAGGAGACACCTAGACCTGAGAAATGGCCCCTGGGCCCTCGTGCCTTGCAGGCAAGAGGCAGGAAAAGGCAGGAATGAGGACTGTCTTGGCAACGAGCTTTGTGGATTGATGCCTGTGCTGCCAGGGCCCCACTGAGAGATGTCCCAAAGGACCCTGGGGGGCAAAGGCTTCAGGGACACGATAACTCCCCCTAGCACCTGGGGTTATAAAAGCTCCCACAACTCAAACTCCTGCTTGGGAGAATTGCAGAGTTGCCCCAAGCTCACTGAGATTATGTCCATCACTGCAGCTGAGTGGGGAGCTCAGGCTGCAGATGAGGTTGCTATGGGAAGATGACTCATCTTGCCTCGCACAGCTGGGCTGTGGGTACCTGCTGCAGACACTGCTGGCAGGTCCTGGGCAGTGCCTTCAAGCCTCACAATTAGCTCCACCCACACGCTGTGACTCCTCCCACTTTATAGATGAGGAAACCGAGCCACGCGGACAGGGGGCAGCTTGCCCAAGTTTGCAGAGTTGGTGCATGGTGGGGGGTCCAGAGGCAAACCCGTGTCTCTTGACTCCCAAGCCCACGCTCCGCACAGCCCTCCCCTCTAATTGGGTTCCCCTCCCCTCCCTGAACCACCCCTCCCAGGCGGACGCGAGGAGTATTTAAACATCCAAGCCACAGTGTTGGTGTTTAGCCAGGGGTCTACAAGAGCTTTTGCCAAAACTTCTGCTCCAGCCTGTGCTTTCCCCATAATGTCGGTGTTTGGATTCTCCAGAAACCCACCCCAGGCTCTCCCTCCTCAACTCCCTTTTTGTTTTGCCCTCATCACAAGCTCAGGAGCAGACCCCCCCTGCCCCCACAGCTGAGGCGTGGAAGGAACACACCCTTGTTGACGTCACGACCGCCCGTTTCCTTCTACAGCACAGGCCGATTTCAGGATTTGCACCTCATGGCAGCTCTAGGAGCCCATCTGACAGGCAAAGAACGGAGGCTCAGAGCCTGACCTTGGCACCGCTGAGGACGGGGAGGGGCTGGAACCCAAAGGCAGGTCCCTCTTCTTTTTCCCAAATTTGTGTGAAGATGAGACTCACTGGATGTGTTTGTTAACAGCTGATTCCTGTGTACTCCTGAAATTTATATAATGTTATAAGCTAGTGTCACCTCAACAAACAATAAAAACTATTGATTCCTGGGCTCTAATTCAGACCTTGAAATGAGAATTTCAGAGGAGAGAGGGCGATTGTCCTGTCTCTTCAGACAAAGCTCTCTTTCCAGTGACTGGCAGGCCTATTTGAAGCCTTAGAATGTTTTATTACAAAATCTTTCTGCGGGAGGGAAAAGCAACAGAACAGACCCTCTGATCTTCTCAAAGGTTTGGAGGTGGCCACCCTCGGCCCTGCGGGGTCCACAGAGCCCCAGGCGTGCCTCTGGGCCCAGGTTAACTACACTCTCTTTCAAATCCCAGGTCCGCCACTTACCCACTGTGGCCCCAGGAAAGTTAGTTAACTTCTCTGTGCTTCAGTTTCCTCACCTGTACAACGGGGACAACAACGTTCCCTGCCTTACAGACTTCTTGTGAGGATCAAATGGGTGAATGTCTGTTAAACACAGAGAACAATGCCTGACACATAAGAAGTGCTAAATACCTAAATGTCATTTGTGGGGCCACCCCGTCGCGGCTGGTTACTTTCTGAGGACTGCACCACGCCTTGGCTGATTTACATGGTTGCCTTGGCTAAAGGGACGATTGAACGGCGTCATCCTACTGAGTCAGAAAGAAAAGCAGTTGAAGCAACTGGCAGATTTAATTGAACAGTTAGAGTGTTTTTAAAAACCCTGGTCAGATTGTGGTGGATGCTGTTGCTTTGTGCTGGGTGACCAGCACCCCTATGGACGTGGGCAGGCTGCAGAGTGAGCAGAGCCACCTCGGGATCCCAGCCCAGGCCTCCGGAGAAGTTCCCACGGAGGCCGACAGCCGGCAGAGGGAGGGCCCGCTGCCGCTGTTTCCTGGGCTGCTCAGGTGCCCTGGGAGTTGCTGTGGGGTCAGCTCCTGGAAACCCTGAGTGGTTTCCCAGATGGGACCTTTGAGCTCTGCTAATTTGTTCCACGTTTCCTCTAGGGGAGCTCGGCGAAGGGATTATTCACTTCCCTCCTCCCCCGCAAGGTTCTTTTTAGAGGTGGCAGCTCTGTCTGCTCCGGGCAGGAAGGGGCGCGGGGAGGACAAGGACAGCCATTTCTTTCCCAGCCCTGCTCTCCTCTCTGAGGGCCCGCTGACATTTGTGGGACATCCAGGGCCTCCGGGGTTTCAGGAGAGAGGCTGCTGGCTGCCATGGAGACCCTGGGGTCGTCTGGAGCCGGGACCTCTCTGGAGAGGCAGAGGGGGAACTCAGGGCAAACCAAATTTACATCCAGGTGAAACTGGTTAGGCTGATCATCAAAGGGTAGCCTGGGGGGAGGCGAAGGATCCCAGAGAGGAAGTGAGAGCTCTGACCATGTTATTGACCTCCCTGGTCAGTGGATTCTATTGAGGATAAGATCCCCAATCTTCCCTGTATCCATCCCCTGCATGCCAGCCTTGATTTGTGTTGGTCCCTCTTGCCCCACACTCAGCTAAAGGCTGCTCCTTCTGCCTCAGGACCTTTGCACATACTGTCCATTTTTGCTTTCCCCAACTCTTTACCTGTGCAGCTCCTCCTCAAGCTAAAGGCCTCAGTCTGAATGTCACTCTTCCAGGGAAGTGTTCCCTGACACTGTGCAGACACACACGCCCCCCTTTCCAGATGAGGTTAGATATTTGCTCTTCCCCTTGGTACACACACTCAAGCACTTCAGATTTCTCCTTCAGGGCATTTAGCACAGTTGTAACTGTTTCTTTAGTGTCCCTCTGCTGGGACTTGTAGCTGCTGATGGCTCACAGCCGCATCCCTCACTGTGACCTGCCTGGTCTGCATGGAGCTGCCTCCTCCAGGTCGCATCTCCTTCCAGGGGTGACCCACCAACACTGACGAGCTGATGCTGAGATTCAAAGACGCAGCCCCCTTGCCTCAATTTGAGACAACTCTGAAGGGCCATCTCAGCTCTCAAGTGCCCCACAGGGTGGCTGAGACCTCAGTTTCAACCACGTTGCCGGCCAGCCCTTCCCTTGCCCAGTCCTGCTCTCCTTGTTCTCCTGCAAGCACTCCTTTCACGCTCTCTGCACACAGCTCTCTGCATACGTGTGTTTCCAGGGGATCCCATCTGAGACACCACCTTACCCACTAAATCTCAGAGACCTCTTTTTTTTTTTTTTTTTTGTCTTATCAAAATTTCCTCAGGAAGGGCTCTGGTAAGCTCATTCACATGGAGGTACCAATGGTTGATAACAGCTCAATGAGTTTCCTTTCCCAGAGTCATCTGCTATTTATGAGACTCTTATGTCAAAGGGTAGATGAATTTTTAGGAATCAGCAAATTTCTGATTTGTCAGTGAATCAGGGACCACACCATGTCAGCAGCACAGCGCCAGGCAGGGTCATCCTAAGGCCCTGTGAACATTGGCTGGTGAGGCTGGTACTTGTCAGGGCCGTAGAGGTCTGCCATCTCGGGGGGTCTCAGAGAGGGAAGCAGCAGGGTGTGACAAAGAGGGTCTGGTTAGCTGTGCAACAGCCTCTCTTTGGAGCTGAGCTTCTTCAGCTGTAAAATGATGGATGGTAGCACCCGCTGTAAAACCGCACACACATGTGAGCTTAGTGATGAAGACAGACCCAAGAGCTAGACAGATGCCCTGGAGCGGAGGTTCCCAGACCATCCCTGCTCCTGCGCCCTCAGGGTCAGTGATTGTCCATGGTGCCCCTAGGCCAAAGGAAACACCAGAGGTCCTTTGATGAAGCACTTAGGGCTAAATACCCTAAAGCACATTTCTGTCCTCACAGCTTTGTAGCATCTACAAAGAAATACACAGAAATTGAAAGAAGAAAACTGACATATTTCATTCTTCAATAACCACAGTTCCTCACTAATGGGATATGCGTCGGGCCGCAGGACTTCTCAACCCTCGGAATCCTGTCGGACACCGGCACTTCATTTCCTGTACCACAATGATTTTCACATCGTATTTGCTTTTTATCACAGCAACCACCCCAAACCGAGCTTCACGACACGTGCCGTCGTTGAAAGGAACGTCGCTCTGTGATCTCACGTGGAGACTGTGGGCCCCCAGAGCTCGCAGTTCGCTAAGCGCCCGACAGGTGTCGCTGTGTTTCCCTGCAAACGTAAACTGTCCCTGTGGGTCTGTGCGTCTGTGGTCTCTCCGTGCATCGCTGGAGAGCTGGTGCCTTAGGATTCACCATGCTTATCCCCAGGGAGTGGAATTTTGGATAATTTTTACCACTTTATACTTTTTCCACATCTCTTTAGTAATGAGCATATAAGCTTAAGAGAGATCAGAACAGACAGAGGTGATAGCGGCACAACATGGTGAACATACTCAATGTTACTAGGGTGAATGCTACGTCATGTGCGTTCCACCACGAACAAAATCCCTAAAGAAAAAAGTCAGAGAAAAAAAGACGATTTATGCTTTTAACAATCTGCGTCCCCCAGGGAAGTTGGATGCGGTGATGGAAGGGAAGAGTCTATAAGCCGGGAAGCTGGGAGGCATCACAGCCGCCAAGGCTCCCGCCCCCGCCTCCCCGCAACCTGCCGCCAGCTTCCCGGGGAGATGCCCCCGCACCACGGAGGCCCATCTCTCTCACGGTCCTCCTTCCCTGCAAGGAAGGCCAGTCACCATTCCGATGGCTAGCGTTTTTGTTGGCGGAGACACGAAAAACAGGCCCTGGGAACCCCCGAGCAGACAATGCTGTCGGGAGGACGTCCTGGGGGTGAGAGGCAGCGGAGGCCGCCGGAGACCAGCGGGTGGTTGTAAGTCTCCTACCTGACAGTGCTCGCAGTCACTCAAACATAACATCTTTCCTGTTGACGCTATACCTGTCCTTTCAGCCACAGGATTGGGTCGCCCGCTGTTCCAGCTGCCCAAGTAATGTAAGGAAAGAAAGATGGGGCTGTGCTTGTGTGTGTGGTCATAAGTGGGCACACCTGCCCCCCCAGAACGCCCAGTGACTGAGCCATGCCTGCTTTTTGCTGGATCTCCAAGGGGAGGTCTTGTGCTGCCCCGTTATTCAGGTGAGGAGATGGTGGCTCCAAGGGCTTCTGGGAATGGCTCGAAGGCGTCCAACTCATGGACTGAACAGTGATTCCTGGAGCCCAGGTGGAAGCCCAGTAAAGGAGATGGAAAGAACAAGAGTACAGTCTCGGCACCAGGCCACCCCCTCTGGCATCTGCTTCCTTTCCGGTACGGGACAGGTCCCCTCCATCCTTCCATCTCTCTCTCTCCCTCTTCTCATGAGGTCACCAATCCTATCAGATTAGAGCCCCAGCCCTGTGACCTCAGTTGCCCTCAATCACCCTCTAAAAGCCCCTCTCCAAACACTGTCACATTAGGGGTTAGGGCTTCAACATACGAATTTGGGGGGTACCCAATTCAGTCCCTAGAACAGCGCAAATCGAAGTGAGATCTTCAGTGTATGAAACATGCAAGACTGTCTGTCCCCAGTGGAATAGAAGGCGTGGACCTAGAGCTACACTGAAAAATAACTAGAGAAATAAATAGGAGGAGGCACTGAAATTAAAGCAATTTCTAGGCATCAAGGAGTTTAAAATCTATTTGGGAGAACAATACAAAGACCTGAAAGCTTGAAAAATGAAAGGTTAAAGGACAGTTTGAGCTATCTGTAGGACAGATGCCACAGGGGACTGTGGCTTGGGGAGAAGCAACAGCGCCATTAGAGCAGGAACTGCTTTCTTCATAGCGATACAGTGTAAGCGACTGTGTAACCCTCCTTCAGTAGCCATCCCCTGTTGCATCGGGAGCTGATGAGAATGCCAGCAATCCATGTGACCGTCCGCCTTTGCCTGGACACGGACGACCTGGTGCCTCATTTCTATGAGCTATACCTAATTTATAAAAACTTCTTATTTTGAAATAATTTGTAGATTTACAGAAGTGTTGCAAAGGTAGCACAGAGAATTCCGTATACCCTTCGTCCAGCTTCCCCGGTGTTACTATCTCACACAGCCACAGTGCACTTACCAAAACTAAGACATTAACGTCGGTACAGTACTATTCACAAAACCATAAACTTTATTTGTATT